CTTCTCAGACTATCAAAAAGTTAATTATCAAAAATTTTTACACTACTTTTCCCCCCTTTTTTCACATTCATATTCGTTCACTTTTTATTTAATTTCAACGAAGGGAACTTCATCCATTTCAATAACCACAGTCCCACGATTCTTTACAATTTTCTAACATCTTTGATCCTCTCTTTCGATAGAATTTCAAACTGGCCGAATTCATTTTCCAGCAGAAGAATTCGATCGGATCGCGATACTCGTTCCATCATTGGAATATCAGAAAATAGCGAAGAATGGAATGGTTTCTTTGAAATCAAGATTAACACCGACCAACCTCATCGCCACCTCGTCCATTTTAAATTTTTCGATCAAACAAATTCACTTCAAACTTGCATCATCCTCACCCTCTCTCTCGAAACAACAAACCCCCGTTGACCACCACCCCCCTTGCTCCATCATCGGTACCGTTCAACGTCCCTAACGAAATCGGTATGCGGGCATCGGTGGCCGAATAATTTTCTATCATCCGGGAGGGAATGTATTGCAGGGACGATTCCCTTCCGCGTTCCGATCGAAATATGCGCGGCACGTTCCTGCAAGGTAAACTCGAAAGGTACGGGGGTGGCGGCGGTGGTATTTGTCAAGACTCGGCAGACGTGCCCGTCGGTATCCACCGGTCGGAGATATTATTCAAGATATAGGGGAGCACGGCCAACAAGGAAAATGCCCAGTTGGACAGTTGGACAGTTGGGGAGGGGGTTGGTTGCCGCCGTCCTCGTCGAGGATCGCCCCTTATCCGAATCGTCCTTGTTCGCCCGCTCGGGTGACGAGCGGAAACGGAGGAGGATCGACTCGTGCTTCCGCTGTCACGTCGAGTTTCCACGGTGTCGGTGGGATGTCTCTATCGAGTTACAGGCTTTGTTTTTGGGTCGATCGAGTGGCCCATCGCCACTCGAAACGTCCCGCCGGACTTTCTTTGACCCCCTTTGACGTCGTTTCCGGGCCTTCGGCCGATAAGCATGATAGCCGGGGCAAAATTGATTTTCCCCAAACATTTCGTGGACGGAGAGCAAGTTTCCCTCTCACCCCCGGTGGGCCGACCAAGATGCCCTCGTAATAATAATAATACTTTGTCCATGTGGAAATCGATTTCCTTGCCCGGCTTTACCAAACCGACCCGCCAATCAGAGTTTATTCGGGTCGGTTCGAATCGTGAAGATTATTACCACGACTTTTTCTCGGTGTCGAATGGCGAGGAGGGGGGGATTTGTTAAAAATGGTTTTAGATAATTGTGGAAATAGGCGTTGATTGAATTTCGTTCGATGGAGGCACAATGTTTCTTTAATCCTTTTGATTCGATCGAATTATTTTAAGAATTTTATTCCGTCGCGAGTTATTAGTGTTATTGGATGCAAATACGATTTATTATTTGGATGGATAATTAATCGAAGGATGAAAAGGAAAATCTGTAAATAATAAATGTGAGGGCAACAATAAATTTTTACGAGACTCTTTTCCCCTTAAAGTTTCAGATGAAACACGATGATTCGATTAATGGATACGGATAAAGATTCTCTTAGGTAGATACGTTTGGATTGGTCGAGGAGATGATTTAATAAAATAAAAAAAAAAAAAAAAAAGAGGAAGGAAGGAAAATGGTGCAACGATTCTACTGGTGAACGCGATGGCAGTTAGTATTGGCTGAAAATCGTTCGTGATTGGAATCATGGCCAATTCTATCAAAGCACTCTTGCATCGCTGCACGATTCGTGTTTCCACTAAAAACAAGCATAGTTACAAAAAAAACGCAACGCAAGGAATATCGATGCATCGAAATCACTTCACTTTCGAAGTGGGCTCAGGATCTTTTTCAATTATTACCCTCGGAGAGAATCGACGAGGATTAATCGAATCGATCGAATCTTTTTTTCTTCATTCACACGCAAAACATTCTTTATCTCGTCTATTACGATATTAAGTGCAATTGCTTCTTTTCCGATTAACTTTAAAATCGAGTCGAATATTTTTTTCTTTTTTTATATAATCGACGAATCACAATTCGATCGTTCAACACCTTCTTCCTTTTCCTCGGGTGTTCATCTTTTCTTCCGAATTTTCACAGCGGAGAGAGAAGGAGTTTTTTTCCCAGGCCAAGAAATTCGATTAGGCGTCGTTCATTGTGTAAAGGTTACTACGGCGAAAGCATTGCCGGCTCGTTTCAGCGAAATTCTTTCCAACCCTCCTTCGCTCTTCTCCTCTCGGTTTTAGGGAGAACGAAGCCAGCTTCGAACCCCAACCGGGCAACCTATAACGAGGAAGAAAGCTTTCTTTATCTGGGTTGCAAAATCGAATTGTCGTCCTTTCGTCTCGCGAGCTCTTCCTCGCAGATTCTTCCTCGCACCTCCTCCAGTTCTCGCTTCCAGTTCGTGAAAACATTTCATCCGAACGATCCGACCATCTTTCTCTCGCACCCTTTTTTTCTCTCTTTCACCCTTATCCTCCATTCAACTAACACGCACAAGTTAAGGAGTCGTTGATGAAGCGAATCGGATATTCCTTGGAGAAAATAATCCGGCAGGAATTCAATGTGGGAGAACTCTGGCTGAAAACTCCCGGTTGATATTGTTAATTCGTGATATGAGAAAATCCATTCGGGCTTTAGCCAAACTTCCTGTATTTAATTTGCATCCAGTCGCTGTCAATTGTCAGGCCGGAAAGTGGGGAAAGTTGGAAGGATAATTGGTTGTCGAGCAGCGCACGGCTACGGTGGATTATTCGGCGGATAAAGTTTTGGAAAAGAATAACGTGTTTCCAAGCTTGGCGAAGCTTTCCACGTTATTAGTTTAATCATAATCTTATTTTATTCGGGATATTAGCATTGCTATCCTCGTTTCTCGATCTTTTTTGTACAATTTGATTTCGTGCAACGACTATAATTCTTTAATCATTTTATGAGTAAGAATACGCTTTTATACGCGAATATTCATATAAGTTTAATTTTATCATAAAAATTCTAATCTCCGCAACTCTTTGTAATTTACTTTAATTTAATCTTTCGTAATATTACGTTTTACTCCCTTCCCTGTAAAAGATAACTTTATCCACCTTAATAATCATCCCTTTTACCCATCAATTTTACAATTTCCCTTGTTAAAAAATTCCACCTAGTACCGTAGTTCCAACGCACGTGTTAATTTTCTCTTTTTCAAAAAAAAAAAAAAAAAAAAAANNCAAAAAAAAAAAAAAAAAAAAAAAAAAGAACTCTCTCATCACATGGAAATTAACTTCGACTCGAGATTAAATCTTTGTCGAAAAATAAAATATTAAAAAAATATTCGCCACCAATTGAAAAATCTCAATTCAAACCCGATCCCCGCTTTCGTTCTCCCATTTTATCTCTCGGCTATCTATTTTAAACGTCTTTCAACGAACGATATCCCCGACGGTGACGTAGTCCAGTTGCCACGTTATTAGCAAAGAGAGAAAAGGGTTCGAGGATATGTCTCTCGACCGACTTGTGAATAGCGGGGAGAGAAAGGGTGGAAGGCAACTTAAAACAACGGGTAACGAGAAGTAGCGAGTAATAATTGAGCGAGGCAAGTGTGCCGCGGACCATGACTGAAAGGTGGAGAACGCCGATGTAGATCTACCTGACCGGAATTCGGAAACAGTGACGATGGAAAGTGGGGAGGGTCGAGTAATTCCGGCGACTTCGATTATGGAAGATGGTTCCTCTTCTGGACCGATCGAGCTAGAATTTAGATGTTTCTTGGAATATTAATGCGACCTCACGCGCATTTCCTTCGACCTGGATTCGACGAGTCGACGAGAAATTAAATTGTTTTAATGTTGAACGTGTTTTTGTTGCAGGAACAAGCAGTGGACACAGAAGGATTTGGAAATTGTTTATTCGATGAAGAGGAATTTTTTTTTTTAGTAGAGTCATATCTTATGTTATGATTTTCTTTGATTTATTTGAATATCGTTGGATGGGAATTGGATCGAGAGGAATATAAATTATTATGATTAATAAATGTTTTTTTTATTTATTAGAGTAAAAGTTTTTTAATACACATTTGTTTAAAGTGTTTGAGAAGTATATTTTTGGTTAAGTTTTGATACGATATATATATATATAATATTGAAAAGAATCTTTTATTTTACAATTTATACGTATCGTCGCGTAGAGAATGATTGAAGATTAAGAGAAAATTGTAGGTTAGAGAATTGTGCACGAACAATTATCACACAATTTTACAATATTACTTTTGGAATAAGACAATCAATTGATCTGTATATTTGTAAAATTCATTTATAAATCTTTACTCGTTTCAATGATCAATCTTATTTCCGTTTTTACAAACTGATAACTTGTAAAATTTTGTTGGTAATATCACGATCGATGTGGTGAACGAACGAAAAGTAAACGCATTATCTTATCGAAAATATAAAATAATCGAACGAAGCGATCGTTAAAAAATGAAATCTTTCTCATCTCGTATTTCCAAACAAATAAATGCTCGATTTCTTATACCGGTAATAATTCAACGCAAAATACTCTCTTCCCACTAGTGTCAATAAAAAGAAACAAAAACAAAAAAAGGACGGAGGAGAAAAAATTCACCACCCATTTCCCCCAATCAATATTACCAATCAACTTTATCTCTACCATCTAAAACTAACAATTTTGAAAATCCTTAAGAAAACGTGGCGAAACATTTTCCATGCCGATACTTGGATCCAAATATGGGAGGAAAAGGAAAGGGAAAGAAAGGAAAAAAAATTGGCACGAAATGCTCGTGTCGAAGGTTAAATTTAAAGAACTAATAGAGGGAAGGATTACGCCATTGGCCAGCAACGTTTCCAAAGTTGCCCGTTTGGCGGCGATATGGGCGAACCGATTCGGGATCGTGGGCAACGATTCCTCGTTAGCGATCGATGCGAATCAGGCTGCGAGACGACGTCCACGTGTGGAAAGTGGCTCGGTTTCGAAGGTGACACGCTCGGATGCTGAGAAATGTCCCAGAATAACCTGCTTCAAGGATACAACTGTGAGTAAACCGCACGAGAAAAGCATGGGGAATCGAGCCGATCCCTCCTTCCTCCGTACATTTCCTTTATCCTCGTCCTACTCCTTTATTCCTCTCCGATTTCTCTCCAACTCCATGGATTCGATCGCGTTCCCGTCCTCTTAAATAACGGCCGATATCGACCGGTCGCGATCTGTCGCCTGTCCGTCCCGTGAAAAATGAGCTGTGATAATGGCGGCTTTCGTTTATTTGCCACCAGCCACCGGAAAAAAAAAGGCGAGGACCGTGGATGTCGGACTTCTGCCGATCCCTCCGCTTTTTGACAGTCTTTTCTCTTCTCCTCGTTGTCGGGAACAAAGCCTCGCCTCCTTAATGGCCGATGGCCCTCCGCCTCCTTTTTTTCATCTTCGTACGCGTCTGCTCGCGTAATCGCGGCCGTTTTTCTTCGCGATGCCCGACGAGGAAAGGATTGTGAATTTTTTACGCGATCTATTAACTTGTATACGCTTGTATACTGGGGGATCGGGAGGGATCGGTTTCGTATCCCTTTGCATCTGGAAACAGGAGTTGACAGGAGTGATCGTGCGCCGCCTCGAATATACGTACGTATAATTTATTTTACGTGTTGAGAAAATGGTGGAGGGTGTCGTGGGTGTTGGCAGATTTAATCCTTCGATCGTCGCTCCGAACTTGTGTCCGAGAATACTTTTTCCAATTTTTACGGTGAACAATTTTACGTGTGGGCAGCTTCAACTGTGTCTACGTATGGGATTAATTTTTTCCAGGATAGTTTTTTTTTTTTTTTTTTTTTTAATTCGCAAATGTTAAACACAAGCGAGCAAGATTTCAAGTAGAAATTCGAATTATTGGGATTATTATTCCGTGGGGGTTTTTTTTCTTTTTTTTTTCTTTTTTTTTTTTTCAACTGCGAAAAGCTTGAACGGTTACAGGGGAGAACGAGGTAGAAATTTGATTGTCGCGATTATTTCGCGAAAGGATACGTGTATCTTTCTCATTTTCTTTCAAAATTTTTGTTTCAAAATATTTTCCAGCTCCAATAATTTTTCCTCATTTCCATTTGCAAACGTATACGTTACCTTTGGTTTCTAGAATTTTACAAGTTATCGCAGTTTGTTAACAATTTATTATTTATTATTTACAATTTGTTAACGATTCGATTTCTTCGTCTCTCTCTCTCTTGAATATACATCGTACATAGTGTATAGGTTTACGATAGAAGACAGATAGAAGTGGAACGAGTGAGTCGTACGGGTGATGTATCGTGGAATATTGGTGCGGTCGGAAGCAACATTGTCTCAGGCTCTGGTGGACGGAACGTTCGACGAAAGCGTTACATTGTTTCAAAAGGCACCTGTATCGCTAGTTCCATTTAAATCAGTGTCACTCAACTGGCGGATCATCATTTCGTTGGAATAACATTTCATATTCGTACAATGAAAACCGGTTTTCAATCTCTGCTGTCGCGATAATTCTCGCGATTCGGAGTTTTGACGAAATATTTCTAAATTGGAATTATTCGTTTGTCATCAAGTTGAAAATGAATTTTTTCTTCAATAATAGTATCGATAAAAAATTAATAATATGATGCGATCAATGATGCATGGAGAATGGAAAAATTTATTATTATTTATTCGTTAGAATTATTCTTTTTAATCCTAAGTTTTGAAATTGTTCATTGATTATTAAAAAAAAAAAATGTTGAATGAATATATAATAAAATATATAATAATGGATAATAGAAATGATGGAAAAATTCGTATCACGTTTTAATAAGATCATTCTCTTCGTCGAAACTCGTTGTAACTTTTAACTATCGTTGAGTTATTAAAGAACGTTTTTATAGGAAAGAAAATTCGAATATCGATCAATCTTTGTTGCAACTGGTGGTGGAGCTATCGTGATTTCATCGAAATCCAAAAAAGAAATATGTGCCTTGAAACTCTCAAGCTTCTAGTCAATATAACATAAGTAACACGATTTATTCATTCGTAGCTATTATAAATTCTTTTAGTTGGACACGATCTAATTTCACAAAGAGCATACAGAAAACGGTAAAGTAACAGCAGTTGCAGCAGGCAATTCTTTACTAAATTAAAAAAAAAAAAAAAAAGAAAAAGAAAAAAAAAGTTAAAAAATAGAAATAAAAAAAGGAAAAAAAATGAAGAAAGAGAGAGAGAGAGAGAGAAGAATTATTTTGTCACGAGAGGTATTAGAGTGCAAGAATATCGTGCTCCTTTTTCCCGGAGAAAGAATCTTAAAAGTTTTTCTACTAAAAAACATATGCTCGATTCTTCTTCTTAATCCTCGATTCTCAAGAGTTTCAACGGAGAAAGGATACCGTCTCTAAAATATTAGTTGTTCAACGATCTTCCAATTCCAGGAAAATTGTTTAAAAAAATAATCATAATAATCTGTTTCCATATTGAAACATTTTTAAAACTTGAAATTAATCTTCCTCACGATAATCAAAATTAATTAACGTGATATCGATGTATAATTTTAACATCGAATTATAATTTTAATATGAAAGAATAATAAATAAAGTAAGTAAGATTATTCAAAGATATCTTTTTTTTGAAAACGGTATTATTCAATTTTTTAGGGGAGACCCAGTACGAGGATTCGCAGGTGCAATTCACTCGTCCTATCCCGGATGAAGTCATCAGGTGAGTTTAAACAATTGGTATGAACTTTACAATTGCGTTCACGTAAGATTTTGGATTTGTTTGTAAAAATAAAATAATAAAAAAAAAGGAATCGAATTAAAATTAAATACGTTTATCGATACAGAAGAAAATGTTATATTTTATTATTAGAAATTTTGTTTCGTTAATAGTAAAAATTGGAATAAATATTTTACGTTTTATTTTAGCGTTTATGAAGTTTACGTGAAAGAGGAAACTGCAGGTTCTGAAGGGAGGAACGATGTCACCGTCGTACCGAGTTTGCCGTCCACAAATGATCATCAATTAATTCAGGTAATTATGAATGGTGAATTGACAATTAACTTTCCTTTATTAACTGTAATTATTAATAACGTGTCACATGCGTATGCGTATGCAATTTTCTACATCATAAATATTTTGTACAAAGGTTCGGTTTAATTTGTTTCCAGGGTGATTGCATGAACCTAAATGTGGCTATAGATTCTGAAGTAATTAACATTGACGGTGCTGTGACAAAGTTTCTCGGGAAAGATGCTTTCAAATATAAAGTAAAAAATTAAAAATTACTTTTCCTTCTTTCTTTCTTTCTTTCATTCTTTCTCGTTCTTTCCTCCCTCCTCCCCTCTTTCTTTTTTACCAGATTATAAGATATAATTGAAAAATGTATATTCTTTTTACAGATTCTCGATCAAAATGTTAATTCGTCCAACGACAACGTTATGGTGTACTCGCATCCAGTTGTCGAAGGACCTTCATCGTCTTCCACTCGACTGATCGATAAAGATGATCCAAGATCGAAACTTCATTTCGTGAAATATTTGAAGCGAGATGGAAAGACGTTGAAAATCTGGGAATGCGGAATTTGTTAGTAATTTACATTTTGAAAATTTTCAACAATTCCAAATTTTAAAAATTCAAAAGTTGCGAAGGTTCCAAAATTTAAAAAATGCGTAAACAATTCGTTTATTTTTAAAAATTCACAAGATAAAAAAAAAAAAAAAGAAAGGAAAGATTTGAAAAACAAAAAATGTGAAACTTGCGAGAATCGGTTGAAAGTTTGACATTCGATCCAGGTTCGAAGGAGTTCCGGCATCAGTACACGTTGATGAGGCATTTGCCAACGCACACCGACGAGAGAAACTTTAAATGCGAGGCTTGCGGCAAAGCTTTCCGGCAGTTGTCGACTCTGAGCCAGCACAAGGCGATACACAGCGACGCCAGGCCATACGTTTGTGAATTTTGTAAGAAAACTTTCAACAGGTACTACCAAAATCAAATTCTATGATACAAAACTTCCTTTCTTTCCTTTCACTTAATATTTATCAATATTTTATTCTTTCTTCTCTTTCTCTACTAGCGTGATTTTAAGTTTCGTTTGAAACCTTTTCTTCTTTTTTCTTTTTTTTTTTTTTTTTTTTTTTTTTTTAACGAATTTCGTTTCATATAGAAATCGAGACGACAATTTTTAGCAGGGGAGAAAAATGATGACACGAGGCGCGTGCGAGCATCATTAGCGTTTTGAATCGCGTGGAAATTGCGCGATTGTGCGCGAGAACGGAAAGAAAATTTTAACGAGCGTCGGATACGTCGGTCTTTTTATAAATTAATCTTCGTGGAGCAATGCTTTTTAAATGAGTCCCCCTCCCTCCCCTCGGGTATGATGTAGCGATGATTTTAATTGAAACAGTTTCGATTGCGAACGGATTATATAAAACTTTTTTTGCGAACGGACAATTGATTCGATTAAGAAATCCTGCGGATATTATGTATATTCCCGTATCTATGTAAATTGAAAAATTATACTCCGATGAATTTAAATTTTAATTTAAACTTGATTTTTCCATTTATGCTGTTCATGATATCCTCGTTTATTTAATTAATGATATTTTTCCAGAGTGTCTACACTGATTTCACACCGGAAAACCCATTCGGAACACAAACCACATAAGTGTCAGGTTTGTGGGAAAGGATTTCATCAAAAAGGTAATTATCAATCTGTTATCGCTCCGAATGTACGAGTTTCTTCAGAATTATATTCAGAATACGAACAATTTCGATCGAATCGAGGAGACGAATAATTTAATAAATTATCTATCGATCCGTTCTCCAAATCATATTACACTTGAATATCATGCAAATGAATAACTTTTTCCGATCGATTAAACTCAACAACAACAACAACAACAACAACAACAAGAACAACAACAACAATTCTGAAACAGCTTGTACAAAGAGTAAGTAGGCTTTGCACGCAGGTAATGTAACCGGCAACAGTTAAATACCGTTCCGTTGTCAGGCAATTTGAGGAACCACGTGTTTACCCACACGAACGAGAGGCCGTACAAATGCGAGCTTTGTGGCAAAGGGTTCAATCAAATGTCGAATTTGGTCTGCCACAAGGTCAAAGCTCATGCACACGCGGAGAAAATGCAGCACGTGTGCGGAATCTGCGGCAAAGAGTTCCCGCGCCGATTCTCTTTGAGATCGCACGAAGAGTACAAGCATGGGATAAAGTATCGACATCCGGCCGGTGTGCAGACCGGAATCAACGATCCGAACGTCATAAGAAAGTAGGTAGACGTCGCGATGGGATCGAGCGATTCTTAATACGTCCCTCGATAGACGGCAACCCGTCCATTTTCTATTTTGCGCCCAATGAATGCAACCTGAATGCCCGATGCTCCTTTCCTCCGAACGTTCTTCCCTTTCTTTGTTCTTCTTTCTTCGTAAATCGATCTTCCCCTTTCTTCTCCCATTTTCCTTCTTTTTTTATCTTATAGTATTGGATCCCTGATTGGAATTTTTATTACTTTTTCCTCACACTTGAATAAGCAATAGGCTTCTTGGTGCCAATTTGAGCAGTAGATGGTGGTTCGAAACCCGGCGGTCTTATATAATGGATAGTTGGAGCCTCGTTCGGATTAGCAAAGTTTCTCGAATCCACCTATCTTAACTAACTTGAACAAGGCTTTTGCATCACGGTTTAATGAAATTAATGAAATACTAACTGTTCAATAATTATCTGGATTGTTTAAGCCAGATCAGTATTGTACTATACACACGGTGTGAACGTTCCAAATTTTTCTATTTTAATCCGTTCAACAATTGAAAATGAAATTTCAGCAAGAACGTGAGGATCGTGCAGCTGCCCAACGGAGATCGAAATCAAACTATCGAAGTCAGGGACAAGGATCCTTTGATGTGTGTTAGTAATTCAATTAAGTAACGAGAATTACAAGTTGCACGATATATCAAATATATATATATATAATAAATTCGTTAAAAATATGTTTTATTTAACAGTCAGATGTGATGGAATCGGTGGTGATAGATAAAATCGACACGAAGGCGATGGAAATGGCATTGATCGAGGGACAAACGCCATTCGCTTTGTTCAAACCAGCCAAAGGAATTCCTGTCCTGGTGAAAGTCTCTCCAACTGGGACTCATAAAAATGTAATGAATTTTTCAATTTTTAATTGGAAAACGAATTTTACGAATTACCTTTTTATTCCTATTTATTTTTATCTTTCTATTCGTGAATTTTTAGATCTTGACACCTGCCACTGCTGAAGATTTACGCATGGCGGGCAAGATGAGCCTAAGTCCGACGATTACCGCTGATCCCGACAGGATTAAAGCGGTACAAGTGAAGGTACCAGTGGTAGCCACGGTTATCCAGAGCATTGACTCTGATGGAAAAATGAATTTCATTGTCGAACCGCCTGGACCTGAGAACGAACACGGTATACAAACAAATTTATCATAGTATTTATTAGCTTTATATTAAAATTTTTACAATTATTATAATTAGAAGAATATTACTTTTTATTTCTAAGGATATATCGTTCCTTCTTTCTAAATAATTTCGATTACAGAATAAAAAAAAAAAAAGAATTTACCAAAAGTAAGTGTTATGATAAACGGAGAATAGCCAAAGCGGGCAATGGTAATTTCGAGGCGTTACGTTTTGGAAAAGGAGGATTTTCTAACGCGCCGTTGCCCACCTATAATTGGCTCGTTAAAGTAGCGATGTTTTTCAAAGTATCGGCAACGATATGGCGTTTATTTGGTGCATTTGGTGTCGACAGAGAGCTTGGTCACGGCATTGGATTCTCAGTTCACGTACACCGAGCCGGCCAGAAACGAGCCAGATCGCCAGAATGGCCCTGTTGTGTCCTCGGCGATGGAGGATTGCAACGAGCTGCTGGAACTGGCCGCCCAGGGTGGAATACAGTTCGTGCGCGCGACAGAGGACGGTCGTTACGAGGTGATGAATCATTCATCATCGATACCGAAGATTTTTCAGATTTTATCATATATATATATATACTTCTATGTATAATGAAATCCGATTTTTCGTGAAAGATTTTTATACATCGGCCACGATTTATCGATTATTTTACTCTTTCATCATGTATATTTTAATCTAGATAATTTTAATAGTTTTATGATCGAATTTTTGACTTAAAAGAGATCTCAAATACGGTTATGGAATATGATGAAGAGTATTTTAAGTTTATAATTTCTTTGAAGAATGAAGAATTTTAATAACACGATTAATTAGAGACAAATCTCGACATTTAGACACAAAAATCTGTTGCGTGCATACGAAAAGTCACAAGAAATATTCAAAGTAGAGTCATCATCCTTCGAAGAACGAAACGAGTCTCTATTCAAGCTTCTCTATTCAATCGTGTTTAAAAATATTTATTTTTTATATTTTATTTTTTATATTTATTTATTTTAAAATATTTATTTATAAAAATACTTATTTCGCACAAAAATTCTCAATCTATGTTAAACACAATGATAGGAATGAAAAATCGTCGAAAAAATTCGATTCGATGATCAAGAATTTTTGTGATCGTTAATAATTTGAAAGCGTTGAATTGTGCAACGTCGAGATTTTCATCTAAAGAAACAAATTACATGGTCTGAAGTTGGAAATTGTTATCCGTTTGTTAATTATTATTTCCCGCGATGATGACAGGTGATGACGAACAGCGAGGCTCGCGATCTGATGGCACAGAATTCACACGACGTGACCATTCTTGAGGGTGAGGAAGCGGATGCGATCAATGTTGTGAATATGCGCGGCAACGGGGAAGTTATTATCGGGGATTCCGATAATCAGATCATGGTGCTCGATTCCGCATCGACGCAGAAATCTATGCCGATGGACGGCATTGAGATCCTGGAGGACAAGGATATCCGGATATTGGACAGCAAAAGCCTCGACGACCGTTTCGTGGATGGCATTAGCTTCCTCTCGCAATCGAAGATCGACGATCTGATTTTGGGTCCGAAACCTTTGTCCATCGATGGTGGTGTGACTGTCAACGACCACGAGGACGAGGGTGAGCTTTGTCCAAATTTTTTTTTAAATCCTCTTTTTAATCTCCTAAGCTATTTGCCTATTTTCCCTTTGCGAAAAATTTCTTTGAATTTTGTTTTTCGCAGCCATAGGGGTGCCTTCGAGTCAACAAGAGTTGACGAACATCCTCAGCCACAGAAGCGATATTTCGACGCTGTCGACCACATCTCAGCCCTCGATATCGTCCCTGTTAATGAAAAATCATCCACCCTTGTCGATTTTGAACGATACGCTTCCGTATCTGAAAAGCAACACCAGCTTAGCCGAAGATCTAAATATTCTAGGTAGTTCGACGATGGACGATCATCATTCCGTGTACGAGTCCAAGATAAAATTACCTTCCGTTTTTGACGATCCTGAACCAGACACTGGTCTGATACCCATCAATCAATCGGATATGAAGATACTCGGATCGGCAACTTCGAATAAGGTAAAATTTTCATATGTATTGCGTTGTTTAATATTTTTTTTTTAAACTGTTGTCTAATTAAAATAAATATGTTTAATAGCTTTTGATCTTAATGAATAGATGATTTCCATATTTTTGAATTTCACAGGTCCTTGGCGGCAAGACAAATTGTCTACCGCCATCGAAATTGTTCCCCGGCCTGAACGAGGTGAAGATCCTGGGTCCGAAGAACCACAGCCAAGAGATCATGACTTCGCAGTATCAGGATATAAAGTTACTCAGCCCTTACGAACAGTTTTTGAAGAACACCGCCTCGAACACGAACGGGTGCGACAGCGGCGGAGTGAACACTTCCGGTGGGTGTAGGAAGGAGGTGAAGATCCTGGGTAAGAAGTTGGGAACTGGCATTATCACCAGCACCGAGGAGGGCAACGTTGTGGAAGTCATCGAGGAGAAAACTAAGCTCGTAAGAGATGCCACGATTACCTTCAATTCGGCTCGTTCGCCAATTGTCGTGTCGCACTTTATAATATTCATAAAAATCTGGAATTTGTCGGAATTGAAGTTTCAAATATTTTCATATCGAATTGCCATCTTTTTTCTTTTCTTTTCATTTAGATTTCCGATCTTTTGTCGCAAGATTATCAAACTCGAAATCGAATCGACAAATTCGAGTCGTTTTGAGAATTGTTTTTGAGAAAATTAAATAAGCAAGGATATTGAATATTAAATTTTTTTATATTACAGATGATGGACGGTCCAGGTCTTTGCAACCCCACTGACAACACGGTGATCTCATCTCCGCGTCTCGACAGGCAGATCACGGAGAATGGAGGGCCAGACAGCTTCTTGCTCCAAGTAAAGAAATACGAGTACGCTTACGATTAACAGACCGCTGAAACAGAGAATCTTTTCCACGATCCATGCAGGCATGTAGCCCGTGCGACTCAGATTTCCTGAATTTCGAGAACCGTTTGAAGGACACGTCGCCGGCCGGCCATTTTGAGCGAACCCAGAAGGATTCCAGGGATAGTTTCAGCTCTACCAGCGGTCTTCCCGATCTCGATTGAAAGAAGAAATCGGGAACAGTCCACTCTGTTCACACTTCTCCTTGGCTCTCCTCCGTTGAAATTATCCAAGCTCGACGAGTGGAAAGGAAAAAAGAAAAAAAAGGGAAAAAAAAAAAAAAAGAAATGTCGCCACGAGATCTTTAAATGGCTGTGAAGGATGGATGTGATTATTATAATTGATATGAAACTAGAAAATTAACGTCTCGATGTTGTTCGTTCGTCGAATTTCGTTCTCAGACACTCGCGATCTAGTAGCGAACGGATGTGCATTTATTTTTTTTTCGATTTTTATTTCAGGATTTCCCTTAACCGATCCTTAAAACTAGTTTCGAATTCTTGTGAATTTTATTCCGAACGTCTTATATAATGTTAGTTCCAGAGGGTTATTCTCGATATATAGTTTGCGCCCCGATTTTTCTTCTGCTTCGTTTCACGGTGTTTTTTAGGTTGACTCGCGAAACGAGTAAATTTTAGCACGAGAAAATTTGCGAGGAAGACACCGGAATGCTTTTAATCGATCGTATCCTAGGAGAAAAAAGAAAAAAAGAAAAAAAGAAGAGAGAGAGAGAGAGAGAGAGAGAGAGAGAGAAAGAGAGAGAGAGAAAGAGAGAGAGAGAGAGAGAGAAAGGGAAAATCCCGCGAACGTTCGCGACGAATTTATAAATTTAAAGAGAACGCTAGCGTTAGAACTAATATATTTATTTTTTTAATCTTAGAATATTTATATACGCGACGAGCAACGATTTCGTTGATATTTGCCTAGACTTTTGATAAGAATGAAACATGGACAAGAAGAAGAAGAAGAAGAAGAAGAAGAAGAAGAAGAAGAAAATCACAAGGAAAACGAGAGGGGATGGAAAATATTAATGAATGGTCGGTAAGGAATTTTTTTTTTTTAGGAGATTGTTGTAGCATGCGTGGGGGGGGGGGGAGGGGGGGTGGGTTAATTTAAAATCGAGGTTCGTAATTTTATGAGGAATGCTAATGATTTTACTCACGGATGAGAAAGTTGTATTTTTGCGCGGCATCCAGGCCGACAGCTTGTAAATTTTAATTCGCGTGCACGTGCTCGCGTCCCATGTTCAAATACGCATTGTTCATTTTCCGGGTTTCTATTTTAACGTGGCCGATTACATTGTATAAATTCGAATAGTATTTTATATTTGAATTTCGAGGTTGGAGAATAAAATTATATGCAGAAAATTAACTATTGTTGTACGGTTTATTCGTATCGTCCGGTTGATTCGATCGTCAACAAACAAATTGGCGAATTTATTTAATTTCTTTGTATATACATATATATATATATATATATATATATATATATATATATACGTTCTTCCATTCAAAATACGTTTAGTTATGTTAAAAGGGATAGAATTTCAAAAGAAAGAGAAAAATAGATTTTAATATTTTTAAATAGATTGAACAATAATATATACTTTTTATTGCTCGTTTAAATATTCTTAGAATAATAATAAATAAATCTAAAATGATCTTAAATTATCTTGAACTTCATCTCTATTATATTCTCATTTCGATTTACTTTTAATCATTTATATTGTTCCTTTCAAAACTTGTTCATTTTATTTGAAAACAATAATACATTAAAAAATTCAATTCAAAAGAAACATATCTCTTGGATCTCTTCATTCCATCAATCTTCGCATAACAAATTAGACATTCAAAAAAAAAATCTTACTTCTTAATATCAAAATAATCGAAACCATTCGTTTCAAAGAAATCTTTCCTCAAAAGATATTCGCACGCGAAATATTCTTCCCTTTTATCAGACGGAGATACTTTACACCAAGTCGTGGTCGTTGATCCGACACAACACGTGTCACTGTCGCTTTCCACTTTCCACGCGTATCGGTCTCGCGATATATATCACGATTTTTCCTCCGCCAAACCGAAAAGATCGGTGGATTCGATAAAATTTACTCAACAGAATGTGACGTTCGCCACGTGAATTCGCAACGGCCTTCATTTCCGGTTCTTGGTCGCACCAACGACGACTCACGCGTGTCTGGAATCGAGTTGGGTTAGGATTCTCAGGGATTCAGACAAAGAAAAGTATCACGGGAAAATTTCTAACGCGATCCGAACAGCTCTCTCTGCTGTCTCTCCTTTATACCGTCCCATTGACGCCAACATCGAAACGTATGAGGATTTCGTTCCCCTGTTCAGGATGGATTTAATAGGATCCGGAAACGAAATTAATTGCGGCGTAATTGGAATGAAATTTTCTATCGAAAACTTTTTCTATCGGGAACCTCTCGATGTTATTTTAAATATTTGCCTTTCTTTTTTTTATCGGTCGAAAACGAAGAGTGACGGACGAACGATGCAATGTCGAGATTTTAAATTACTAATAATTAAGTTGATTTTTCTTGATTAAAAATTTCCATTTAACATTTTTTTCTTTCATTTTTTTTTAAGACCTCTTAAGATATTTCAAGTTCTAAGTCCGTAAGGGACGAAACATAAGGTTAGTATACAACAGATTGATTCTTTACAAATTCCCTTCTTCGAAATAACGATTCAAACTGGAAAAAAATATTCAATATTCCTTTTTTTATTTTTCATTACAATGCAAGCAATACAAACAGAGAGAATATTTCTACGACACCCAAATTGCACAACAAAAAAAAAAAAAAAAAAAAAAAAAGAAAACTTCCAACACCATGAGTTACCGTAGATAAACTTCACTTCCGGCAACTTTCCACCCCTGAATGCGCACGTCTCTTTGACGAATCAAGGAGAGGGGAGGGGAGGGTTCGACCGTGAGTCGATTCGAAAAAACTTTTATCCGCCAAAATTGTGCGACGACATTGGATAACGCCATTGACTTCTTCGTTTCGCCTCGCTTTTTCCGCCTTTGCGAGCTGTTCTCGCGTGTTCGCTCGCGCGCGCGCGCCGAGGGGCGGCACGGAAGGAAGATCGAATTTGCGAAATGGCTGTGTACGAGGGTTGAATTTCTGACGAGGTAATTCGCGGGGGTTGAAGCGGTCCGCCGTGTCGAAGAAGGGGAAAAAGTTGTAAGGGTGAGAAATTCGAAGTGAATTCCATCGAAATAGGTGGGTCGACGATTTACTTCGTTACAGGGTTGACAAGTTGTCACCCCTTTCTTTTGGAGAGCATGCACGTTCGAAATGATTCGTGCGCGTGTCTTTCGACGAGAAACGACAGGGTGAGTAGTTTTTACTTACAGATATTATGACGAGAAATTTCGTATGTTTTTTTTTTTTTTTTTTTTGAAAGATATTATAGGATGATTCGTACCGTGAAGAAGTGTACTACCAGTCAAGAGAGAGACTGCATGAATGTAAAAAGTGCTGTTACGCACTGGTCGTTGCTTCGAGTATACTGGGTGAGTTATTTTTATTTACATGTAGATTTTATACGTTGCACAGGTTTCTTTTGAAGGTACAGGGTGAAGAAGTGTATTACCAAGAAGAAGAGAATCACTGCGTAAGAAAGGTATTATTATCGCTGTGTATATTACGCGTGCCTTGGTACGAGGTAAGCTATTTTTATTCACAATTGGATCTTATGTATTCGTGATTTTCTTGAAAGGTACGTAGGAAGTTCTTCGTGAAGAAGGTGTGTAAGAAAGATATTGTCGTGGTTTCTTATTCTGATTGATTCCGCGCGGGGAAAAAAAATTGTGCACAAGTCTCCTTATCGAAAACGTGTAACGACGCGTTAAATATGTTGCTCCCGGTTGGAATTCGAGTAGGAATTAAATAGAATAGTTTGAATAACGAAATTGACGAAACTTAATTACGAGGCTCTGCCTTCGATGCAAATTGCTTTTGCACGACATTTGTGCCCGTTTCAAAATGGTCCAGTTTCGAAAGTCGACCTCGTCACGATACTAAAATTATTTTCCCTTTATTACGCGCTCGTCATTCAATTATTACTCAACACGGCATCTAATTGTCGTTCGTTACGCAATTTTTTTCGAAACCAGTTGCGAATTTTCATCCATTTAAATTACGCTCGTCGTTTCAATTATCCTCGAAAAATTAAATCGTATCGTGGAAAAAAAAAAGTTAACACGTACGATAAATCCTGAGAGAGACAAGCTCGTTAAAGGGGTAGTTTTACAAATTTCATATTTCAAATTAAATTGCGCAATTATTTATATATTTATCGGCTACGATAAACCAAAAGTATAGATTGTATAGATATTCTTTAAAAAGAATTTAGACAAAAGATTATTATCCCTATTTTGATTTTTTATTATTTTACACCGTCGAGAAATTAATTTTTCCTATTTATGGAACAAAATCATTCGTTTGAACGGCAAAACAACGGCGCATTTGCATGCAATCTGATTCCCGTCGATGCATGTCGCGTTAATCAGGTTACACGAATTAAGTTGCCCTCAATTATTTAACATTCATCGGCCGATCGATCGACCTTGTTTCTGACCGGCCGGTCCCGTCACGCCGTCATTAACATATTTGCCAACGATATTCACAAACAATAACTCGATATTCTCTTTCGTCCAAATCCAATCAAACTCGGGCGACGCTCTCGTTAGACTCCCGATCCCATTACCCTTCTTCTAACGAGGGATAGAAATACGCCCGTTTCTTTTCGCGCTCGATCGGTAAAAAATTAACGAAAAGCTATTATCGACGGAGAGGAGAAGGGAAAATAAGACCGATGAATAAAAAAAAGAGGAATAAAAAGGGATAAGAAGAGAGTGATTAAGTGTGGAAGGAGGTGGGAAAGAGAGGGGCGAAAAAAAAAAAGAAGAACAACGCGGTTTTCCAGGACGGGAAAAAAGAAAAGAAAGGAGAATTCGTCGGTAAGAAACTGTACGCTAATTAAGGCTGTTTCATCAGAGATTCCCTTTTTCGAGGGGTCGAGGCTTTTAAATAAATTATTCCGCGTTAAAAGCCTCTTCGCACTTCCTTGGATAATCCATGGGTTCGTTTCGTCTTGGTACTTGCACTCCAGGGAGAATTCCCGCGGATGGGATACGATCTAAGCCTTCTAATTGTAGGTGTATCATAATGCATCGCGAGTTGTCTCTCGGTGAATTACATTCTGGTTCGATTAAACGGGAAGAATTGGTCATTTGTATGGCTTAGCAACCATAGTAGTCTTTTTAGAGAAAGAAATTTATTTTCAGGGAATCCAATTTGATAATGAGAGATAATGAAAGAAATTAAGTTAAAATGTATTTGTTAATATCTTTCAAATAGATATTACTTTCTTCCAATTTATATTTTTGTTTTTCGTAAAGTTATTATCTCGAATATTCTTAGTAACGTTATTTTTGTAATATCACAATTGAAATTTAAAATAGAAAAATTAGGAACATAGATTTTTTTTAAATTTCTAAATTTATTTTCGTATTAATAAAATCCCTCGTTAGTGATCATCTCATTTGGGACAAAGCCTTGCAAAAAATACCAAAAGTTTCTAAAATTGATAGAAATATACAATTGTGATTCAGAATTATTAAATTGAATTATAATAAATTTCACAAAAAGTTTATTGTTAATAGTGTTGTGAATATATTATAGATGATTACTTTGATGCACAATACGATTTAAATTTCCTTCATTATCGTGGCCTAAAGAAAACGTGGACGTTTTAGAAATTGGTATTTCCACCGGCATTCCAGGACTTCGAATTCGTTGTCCTTGGTCCTCCGTGAAACGGCAACCGCGTCGCCTTTGAAGCCAATATTCTCCCTCTGTGCGCCTCTTAGCGTTAAGTTTCCTCGACAAGGCTAGTGGTTAAGTGGATGTTTCTCGGGACGTCGGGTGCATTTTTAAATAATTCAACGCAAAAGAGACGGGAAAGGTGAGAACTT